AGTGGGGTAATACATACACACTTGTCAGGTTTTCAGTACTGAGTGGGATAATACATATACACATGTCAGGTTTTTCATACTGAGTGGAGTAATACATACACACTTGTCAGGTTTTTCATACCGAGTGTGGTAATACATACACACTTGTCAGGTTTTCATTACTGAGTGAAGTAATACATGCACACCCCTCAGGTTTTCATTACTGAGTGGAGTAATACATACACACTTGTCAGGTTTTCATTACTGAGTGGAGTAATACATACACATTTGTCAGGTTTTCAGTACTGAGTGGAGTAATACATACACACTTGTCAGGTTTTCAGTACTGAGTGGAGTAATACGTACACACTTGTCAGGTTTTTCATACTGAGTGTGGTAAAACATACACACTTGTCAGGTTTTCAGTACTGAGTGGAGTAATACATACACACTAGGGGTGTAACGGTACACGTGGGTGTATTGAACCGTTTCGATACGGCATGTTCGGTTTGGTTCACCAGCGTACTGTTTCGGTTATTTTTACACTCATTACATTTTATTAACAAGAGATTATGCACCGCAGAACTAAAGTTCCAAAGCGTGTTTCAGCACAGCGCTATTATCTTGTAGCACGCACAGCATTAGCAGCCTAGCATCTCATTGCAGTCTCCTGTTTGGGAACATTATGTCTTTCTTGTTAAAAGACAAGTGAACAAATCCAAAGTTGTGAGTCGACGTTGTTTCATCAAGATTGGATCTGCAGCAGCAACAAGTCTAACTTGTCAACGCTCTTGAAACGATATCATCCGAACATGAACGTCTCTTCTACAGAATAGCAGCTTGTTGCAAAGAACGATAATAGCAGCATTTAAACAACTTTTATCAGGTAATTCAGATTGGTCCAAAGCAATAACACAAGCTATAGAAGTTTTTAAAGCTCTGGAACTACGTTTCTGTTGTTGATGCACAGACGTTCAAGTTGTTGAGCCCCGCTATGACATCCATCACGTCAACACTTCAGCCAAAAAGTTGTAGCAGCACTTTATGAAAAAGCTAAAACTGATATTGTCAACAAGTCCTTGACCAGATTAAAGTCCTGTCACATGATGATGATGACCGAGAGATTCAACCACTTCATAACAGAAATGATGACCGTTCAAGAAGAGGTATTGTTATTTTATTATTATTATCTAAATAATTTTTCTTTTTTTTAAATTATAATTTTATTAACTTTTTTTTTACCCATTTATGTTTTACTTCCAGTCTGGGACAGAGATAGCAGCAGAGTTTTCTTCCTTTTAGGACAATCCACCAGAGCTTACCTCCAGCTAAGAAGTCTGTGATGACTGAACTCTGAACTTTTCCAGGAACAGGTGAGAGCAGGTCCAAGAGGTTGTGAGTAATGAGGTCAAATACAGCCACATTACAAAATTAGCAAAGTGCTACTTCTTTATTCTTGCCACCTGTTAGTGAATGATTATCTCCACTGCTGGAGACATTCACTGCAACTAGATCTGTGCTTTTGGCAGAAAATGTGGACAAGTTGGTCTTTTTGGCCAAAAACTTAAAACTTGATTAGTTAGATTGTAAACAGTCTATTGCTGCTTATTGGTCTGGTTCTGACTGTTATATTTATTAAGATTTTTATTACTGTTATTATAGTTTATTTATTGTAAAGAGTGCCTTTTATTTAAAATATCATCCAAATGAGTAGTTTTTATTTATTTTTATACAAATGTATTGTTAACTTGGCATATTTTCAAAATAAACAATTTTGTAAGTTTTCATTTTGGCCTTTTTGTATGGAAAATGAACCGAACCGAGCCCTCCCTGAAACTGAACCGAACTAAAATGTGATTTTAGCGTACCGTTACACCCCTAATACACACTAATTAGTCTCTATTCCATTGTTGGTATCAGTAGCAGTTTCAGGTTCAAAGTGTGTATACAGCCACCATGGTTCACTGCACAATGAACTATATACTTTGGAATAAATAAAAACACATAGAATGGCCTCTCAAGGTATGTTACGTTCTAGTATTGAGCCACTCAAGGTGGCTCAATACTAGTGTGT